TTTCCTTAATATAGTAAAAAAATAAAACCCCCAGTGGTGAATAAATACCACCAAAAGAAAGCTCTATCTGTCCCCAAAAAAGGGTATAAAATTCATTTCAGTACAGCGCTGCATGACGGAATAAATGTCAGTCAAAGTACCGCAGCGCTGAATACTGAAAAATGGCCTGGATGGGAAGGGGGTTTAACACCGCGGATGTCAACTGGTTAAGGAACATGATTTTTTTTTTTTAGATTTGAGTTTAGTGTCACTTTAAAACACAAGTTATTCATTAAATGTTTCTACTATAGCACAGCTAACACTTATAATTTGTCAACTGACGGTTGCTGACAAGTTTAGGGATCACCAGCGACAAGATGGTAGCAGAGCTGATCAATCAATGCTGGGACAGAATAAATAAAAGCTCTAATAATGAAGAGGGCAGTAAAAGCAAAAGCAGTATGTTGATTAGTGTGTGTAACTTCAAAAACACTGCCCAAAATAGAATAATTTCCTTTACCCTTTGAAGCTCTATGCTGCATTATTTTCCTTAGAAACTTCACAGCCACCCCACCTAACAAGCTGATGACAGTACTGATAATGAATGGTAAAGCCCGGAAAAAAAGGATATTGTCTGATTAGACTGTCCACCTCTCCTTCGTCCGGCCCCTGTGGCTCTGCCGGCTCCTCCTGCAACTGATCGTCCACAAACTTGTTCTCATCGTACTCATCGATGTCTACCTTGCGGAAGCGCGATGATAGAGTGTTCTTAGCCATGGCGGAGACACCGGCTAGCAGGGAAAAGGGACCGAAGGAAGAAGTGACAAGAGTACACCTAGATGGCTTCACACACAACTATGGGCTCTCAGACGGACACCAAAAGAGAGAGCTGCTCCTCTAGCTGTCACTGTCTTTCCGTTCCTGTTCGCCCGGCTCCCTCCGCTTCCGGCGACTCCGGGGCGGAGAATGCAAAGGAACCGGAAACGCATCATAGTCAAGGCGAGAGGCAGTAGCAACATGGCTGCGGCTTGTTGCTAAGCAACTGCAGTTTTGTGGAGAAGGGGGATGTCTGCACATTTGATTCTGTGTTTAGTTGGATAGACCCCTGCAAAGTGGACTTTATCAAGTGCCATGTTAATTTTACATTTTTCATACTTGTTTGGATAGTGCTTTCTCTGGAAGAGACGGTTAAATATCATTATCCAAAGTCTTCCTTTCGCCTGGTTTAGGACGTGATGACCGGTCCCCCATAGCCACTCTTCTCTGTCTCTGACAAGTAATGCTGTTTTACATCATCCCTCTAGACCTCCACCTGCTCTGCACCCTCTTTTTTTTATGTCATTATACATGCTTTTTTGCAGTTTTTTGGTGATCTTGAAGCTGGCCGTACACTGTCATATTTTTTTTGTTCAACCTGTGGTCTGAACAAAAAAAAAAAAATGGATTCCTCCAGCCACACTAAACAGTGAAAATGTTCTGAGCGAAGAATGTCAGACGGAAGAATGACAACAGGGCCACCTACTAAGCAAAGTTTTGATGAACCAGTCGAGTTTGCAGAGTGTATGGCCAGCTAGATAGCACATAATGATGTATGAATGCTGACCCTTGACAGCCTGCACTCACAGACAGTGAGCTGGATGGCAGTGGGTGTCATGCAGCCTGGAAGACAATCATCGCTGGATTAGTTTGGTGCCTCCTGACCACATGTGGGTGCCCAAATGTTATCTGCAGTGCTGGGGGCACTTGTTGAGCCATGCATACCTACAGTAGCTGGAATGTGGCTGCTGATAGACAAAGATAAACAAAGTACCCTGGAATTATCCTTAGCCTAAAGCTGGCAATACACTGCTGAAATTTTGTCCAAATCCTGCTGACTTGGCCAAATTTAAGCAGTGAGATGTCCGTCAGTGCTCCACAGAAGCCAATTTATCAATACCCTCCAGGGAAGCCTGGTGAGGAGAATCAGTCAGTCTCCCTTTAAAGCTGGTCATGCACTTTTTCTGCAGATTTTCTGTGGTCAGATGGAAAAGGTGCAACAGATTCCTCCATCTACACTTAACTGTGGGGATGGAGTAATCTCCACCTGGGCCAATCTGTTGCACTTTTCCATCTGACCACAGAAAATCTGCAGATAATTGTAAGGTGTATGGGCACCTTAAGAGTTCAAAGTCACGTTCAGTTCGCTGAGTAGCTGTTCTGCAGCTCTTCAGTTTGCTGCAGCAACTTCACCAAACACTTCGGCTGCACAGTTCTGAGCAAAATGGCAGGGGATTCGGTGTTAAACTCTGCCATTATTGCAATTTCAACTGTTTTGCAGTGGGAAACTCATTATTTGGACACAGTTTTTTGTTCACACCAAAGCATTTGTCTACCAAAGCATTAAATTGTAGGTTTCCACACTGAATAGTGATTTGCTCCATCAGGGCTCAGGCACCCTTCTCCATCACTGCCAGGTGTGCCCACAGTTACAATGGCCACTGGGGCCCTGTACCCATCTTGCAGCACAGGGTTTAGCGGCGGTTTGCTAAAGGTGCCCATACACCTTACAATTTATCTGCAGATTTTCTGTGGTCAGATGGAAAAAGTGCAACAGATTGGCCCTGGTGGAGATTACTCCATCCACACAGTGTAGCGTAGATGGAGGAATCTGTTGCACCTTTTCCATCTGACCACAGAAAGTTTTATTTTTGGGGTTTTTTCTCTGAGGTGAAGCACTTTTCTGATAATTTTGTACATGAAAATAATTGTTTTTTTTTTAAATAAATTCTTTATTTTATCAGTTTTTTTAAAGTTTACACCATACATGCAAAGGCAGTGCAGAAAAAAAAGGTATGCATAATACAATCTATACAAGTATGTACCAACAAGGTCAATTCAGTACCGTCAAAACGCATTATTTAACCATACAGGCACCAGAGGGAAAAAAGAAAAAGAAGCAACTTTCTGGCTCATATGGTGGGACTAAAAAGGGGTAATCGGGTGTGTATGCTGGCCATGCTGTCATCTCATGCGTCCAATCTGGTTTGCTGGCCTGTGCCTTATTGATAAGGGCTCTCTTTGTCGGTTTCGTAGAAAGGTAAG